GAGTCAGAGCGCCCTGGCGAGGGGAGAAAGGCTCTCTGGGGCCTACAGACCTGCATTTGTGTGGGGGGGGTGGGTGGAGCAACAATGCTTAGAAGACTATAAATTGGGTGTTCTAAGGCTTGTAATCTTAGGGTGAAGCCTTGTCTACAGGATGGGGTCATTGGTAGGAGAGGGGTTTCTCTTGAGGTCTCCTATAGAATTAGATAGTAGGATCCTATACACAACCTGCTGCAGGATGCTCACATCACCCTCCAAAGTCAGGCTCCTCCCCCAAGAATAAGCAATCAGAAATGTGTCCTACCTAGAGTCAAACTGGACAGTAGCTACTTTGTGTCTTAGAAGCCAGGCCCTTTGCTGGGTGCCAGAGGGTCCAGAGAGAGAAGAGATGCTTTTGCCAATCTGACAGAGACACAGACCCTACCCTAGAGGAAACCCCCGGCTAATGAGGGAGACAAGATGTCTCTTCCAACATCGCCATGCATGGGGAACCCTGGGCCGAGTCGCAGATGCAAGTGACAAGCAAGATGGCAGAGCAGAGAGGGAAACAGGAAAATAGAGGTCTGCGGGAGGGGTGAGACTTGGAATGGCCTTTGTGAGGGCCCAGAGTGCGGGGACGAGCGTGGCTCAGAGACTGCCTGGGATATGCTTCCCAGGAACAGGGTCTGAAGAGTGCAGTTCACAAGATGTGGGGCTGGAGGGGATGGGAGAAAGACATAAAGTCTCTTGAAGACCGTGATTGGGAAATTTTTATCCAATGCCAATGGATGTGTCTGGGTAGGGAAAAGACAAGATAAAACTGATGCTTCATAATGATAATTCCAGTGATAATTTCGTTGTAGGGTACAGGGAAGGAATTGAGGAGAGAGGGGGCTGGAGTCAGAGAGGTCATTAAGGAGGCTGCTGTGGGCATCCAGGCTGATGGGATGAACAGGCCAATCAGGAGACACAAGAAGAGGAGGGCATATAAATCTGAGAGAAGTTGTGGGGGCAAACCTGGGCTGGGAGAGGGAGAGGCAGGATGAAGAAGAAAAGAGTGATAGGCAGGGCCATGGGAGTAGGAATGAGATGTGGGGGTTGTCTTTGACCGACAGAAGTCTTTGACTGAAAGAGAAGTTGCTGAGAATGGGAAAAGAGACTATTTGGTGAAAGCTCAACAGCTCAGTTCTCATTTATTGAATCTGAAGACAGGACATCTGCTTGGCAAAAACTTGTGGAAAACAGGGGCTGTCGGTGTGGAGACCCCACCTCAAGCAAGGCCCAGCCTATTGGAATCAAGGGAGGAACTTCATCTGAAACTACTTGATACTTCTTCTACCTTTTCAAACTCCAGAAGGGTGGGAAGAAAAAACCTAGGACAGAATCTCAAAACAAAACCAAACCCACAATGAAGGGCTGGGACAAAGCCTAGGAACCAGGAAAGATGACAGAGTAGAAAACGTTAGAGTGGTGGGAGAAACGTAATGGCCCACAACTCTGCTTTTTACAGACTAAGGACCGTTCCAAGCCCTTTATAAGTCACTGTGCATCCTCACAGCAGTTATGAGCCCTATTGTGAGGATGAGACTTCTTTAGCTACCAAGTGGTAAACTAGGACTGAATCCCACAAAGTCGGACTCCAAGGCTGTGCTCTTAACCATAGTGCCTGCTGTCTCTCAGAGCGGAAAGTAACCATGGAACAGCAAGAGAGAGGTGCAACAGTCACCCAGGAGAGGCCCCTGACAGTTGTCACAATAATCCCTGTGCTCTGAGCTCCATCACTCCTCTTGGAAGCTTTAAGGATGGGCTTCTTTGTTTGGGGATTTAGTTGGTGGGTTTTGTTTTGGTTTGGTTTGGTTTTTTGGTCCAGAAAGTGGTCTCTCTTTCCTTCCCAGTCTCCATTTCAAATGTCTTTCCTTTTCTGGGATGTGCTTCCTGAGATCTAACCTAAGTCCTTCCAGCTACAGCCACAATCCTTTCCCCAGGTCTTCTGCCATCGGAAAAGTTGCACAATGGCCACGTATGCTCTTTCTGTGCTGCACCTTGTTGGAGGCTGGAGGTCTGATTCAGTCCCCTCTAGCTCCTGCTTCTCCAACCTCCTTCTTCATGCCACAAAGTTCTGTTCTTACTTCTCTCTCACATTCCAGAGCCAGTCCCTCCCTTCCCCCACTACCTCAAATCCAGGCTCCAAGCTGGCAGACACCCACGGGAGGGCATTTCCCACAATCCCTTTCTCTTTGCCCTTTCAAGGTTCTGATGGGGGAGGGGAGGAAGAGGGGCCACCAGATGCACTCTCTCCATAGAGAATGGTGGCAAACATGTAGGCTAAACTCAGAAGAGGGAAGAAAAGCATTGAACTCAGCCTGCCAGAGTCTGAGGTGACATGGCAAACTCTCATTCCCAGGAGCTGCCCAGCCAACCACCCATCATTGGGTGCTAGAACACTTAGATTTTAAATCTCCCTTTCCTCTCCAATCTTTCTGTAGTTTCTTCTCAATGATGTGCCTTGGCTGATTCCTTCTCTGCCCCCTTCCAGGGCCCCACTGCTATCCTGGACAGTTTGGCCTCAGCCTGGACAGTCGCACTGCCCAGTCAGGCAAGAGAAGAATCTAGGCCGAGGAAGGGAGGGAGAGTGGAGGTTTTCTTCTTCCGTCCTAAATAACCTGTGGCAGGAAAGTTTAGGGACTCCATTGCCCAGTGTCTCTTTTCCTCCTGACCAATGGCAGGAGACTCGGCCTATCTTTCCATCTTGTGTGCAGAAACCAAGCATTTTACTAGGAGGCTCAGGAGTATCCTTTGAGGAAACGGATCTTTCTGCATGACCCACCCACTACAGCTTTAAATGCCCATCCCACCAATCACAGAATGACTCCAGAGGACTTCATCTGAGCCCACTGTGATCCAAGTGTCCCAGCCTCTCTGGTCCCCAGGAAGGTCAAGGGAAGGAAGGTCCCTGGGTCCTCTGCCAGTCACTTCCTTGTAGCTCACGCCAACCAAGCTGGAGCTGTAAATGAGCTTATGCACAGTGATGCAGGTGGGAGGGAGCTAGAATGTGGTTCCATGGGGCATATGGAGGAGGTGGGGGATACCAACGTGCAGATCACTAATCCCCTCACACAAACATATGCACCCATAGACTGGATGTGGGTCAGATGTTGGGGGAGACAGATTTTTTTTTCCTCAGGGTAAGGGATAGCAGAGGGGTTCTGCATTAGAGCCACAGAGGGACTGGAACCATAACCCTGCTACCCCTGCCACTCCCATTCCCCACCCACCCTCCATCAGTGGAGTCATTGCCATTTGATATCCGCTGAGACAACTTGGCTGCTCAGGCTCTGGGTGGGGGGTGGGGGGATGGCTCAGAAAACAGCAGCTCCTTTCAGGACCCAGGTTGGCAAGGGCTTTGGGAGGCTGGACTGGCCCAGATCACCCCCCAACACACTCTCCCTCCCTTCCTCCCTTGCCACCACCACCAAAGGACTTGGGGGAGGCAGCGGGGAAAGGAGTTGGCACTGCCTGGGCCGTGCCTATTGCCTCCGCAATCCAGCCCTGGACCCTCTCCCTGGTATGATGCCTTCCGTCCCCCTCCTCCCTCATTTCTTCCTCCCTGAAGAACCAGTTATGAGTCAGGATGCCTGGTTCCTTACAAACTTGGTCCCCCATACCCAGTCTACCCCCAGAGAAATGTACAAGCCCTACCACTTGGCACAGGATGGTACCCACCATCATGCCAGGAATATGTTCAAAAATCCTTGGAGATTAGGGAGAGAGTTTCAGGATGAAACTAAATTGAACTCAGTGGCGGCTGCTCACCCCTCCTGGGGCTGATTTCATGACAACCACTCCAGGCCCTCCTCAGCACCCTTAAACAAGGCCATCTCTCACACGGGGGCCCTAAATCTCCTGTCATTATCTCCCTCTCACCCAGACAGCCTAAAGCAATCCCAGTGGGGAGAAAAGAAATTCAAACACCACAGCAAGAGCAGACTGGCCAAACATCTTTAGTCAGAATTTGTATTGGTAAGCAACAGAAGCAGGCTTTAAGCACTGACCTATTTGGGGTCCAAATCTGCACCAGCTTCTTCACCATCTCCACTTCCCCATCTGCCTCACCCTGCCTGGGGCACTCACTGGAATTAAACCTCAAGACACCAGAACCCACCCCCACTTTTTCCCAGTGTTGTCCTTCTACCCATTCCTGGTAGAAGGATTCTTTTTTCTCCTCCCCCAAATCAGGAAGTTCCATCCTTCATGTCTTCCGTAACACAGGTGCCCCAGGTTAGTTCTGGTGAGAGGAGGGATGGAATGGGAAGGGGCATCTCCGTCTGGAGGGTAAGTTTATAGAACCCAGTCTGCCCTTCTCACTCTAGCAGAAGTGGCCTTGCTCCTTTCCTTCTGGAAATCTCAGTCTGAAACAGCTGGGGTGAGGGTGAGGGGCAATGAGGAGGGATGTCTTAAAATGGGAGCCACTCAGAATGGAAGGAAGAGATTGGGTGGGCAGGGGTCTGGAGCACACCAGGCTTTGGTGTCTCCCCGGTCTAAGCTGCCAGTATCTGTTTCTCTCCCCATGTAGGAACTAGCGATCATGGGTGTCACTATGTGATTGTCACTGTATGGGGAGTGGGGGAGGGGCTGGGGATGGGAGTAACCTGTCCATATGGGGAGGAGGGCGCACTGTCTGCTGTGCCTGTGTATGGGGTGCCAGGTGATGTGTGATTGTCACTGTATTAACTAGAGGAGCGGGGATGCAACTGGTGGTCTGCCCAGTGGGAGGGGGCATCGGGAAAGCCCCTTCCTTAGATGAAAGGGTTGAGGTGACCAGCCTGGCTAGTGTCCTCGTGGGGAGCCCTTCCCAGGAGGCTCAGTTTGGGACTGCCCAAGGCGGGAGGCAGGGGAACAAGACGGTACCGCTGAGGCCAGGCAGGGTAGGGACTGAGGAGCTGGGACCCCGATGTCTCTGGAGAGTTAGGGGGACAGGACCCGGCCGGGGCGGCAGAACTCCTTCATCAGGGCCAGGGTCTTACCTTGGGTCCGAGGTGGAGTGGCCCCTTGGATGGGCCGCGGGGCAGCGGGACAGATGGACTGACGGGGCGGACAGGAGTAAGGAGCAGAGCTGTGCGACGGTCCTGGCCAGGACTCTTAAACCCGGAGCTGGGATCAGATAAGGGCTTGTCCAGGGGCCGGGGCCGGGGTCGGGCCGGCCGGGGGCAGAGCTGGGCCGGGCCGGGCCGCCCCCTCCCTCCGCAGCGCCGGAGCCAAACTTTGTGTGAATGGAGGGGCCCGGAGGGGGGCCGGGCAGGCGGGGGCGGGGGGCTCCAGACGGACCAATGGGAGAGTGGAGCGCCAGGCTCGAGCCGCCGGGATTGGAGGGGCTTGGGCAGGGGGCGGGGCGTGCGGGGCAAGGAAGCGGAGACCCAGACAGCTGCAGGCGCAGAGAGAAATACCCAAAGACAGAGACCCAGACAGACCAGCCGAGAAAGAGAGATGAAGAGACGATACGCGATGCGATAGGAGCTGAGCTGGCAGGGTGACAGGGGAAGGGAGAAGGAAGAAAACGGAGGCGGTCGTGTCAGAGATGGGTTACGAGAGCTGGAGCCGGGGGGCGGGACTGGGGCCGAGTTAATGAAGTGGAAATGAATTCAGTACCGGCCCAGTGGCCCTGCAGGCAGCGCCGAAGGCGGCGCCTGGAAGTGAGATTGGGGCGGAGTAGGCCTGGGCTCCCTGGGCCACAGGACTGTATCTTTGGGCACAATTCCCGTGTTGTTCACCGTTTCCTAAGTCCCAGGTGCGGTGCTGGGTGCGAGATGCACAGCACGCCGTGCCCACCTGCAGCGGCTTTCTCTGCAAGGAAAGATAAGGCCGGAACCCGCAGCGAAGTGCGGGAGGTACTGAAGGCTGCGAAAGGGAGAGGTCATTCTACTCAAAGGGCTCCTTGCAGATGTGGGAGGAAAGAGGTAACATCTGATTAAGGTCCCAAAGGAAGCAGAAGATTCAGGTGCTGAGAGATGGTCCCCAGGACTCTGTTCCATTTAAGGCAGAGGGAACGTCCTGGGGAGACATGAAAATACAAGTTCACTTGGGAAACAGCATCAAACTGTCCCATTTACTAGATTAGAGTGCAGGGTGATGGTTCTCAACCTTTTCATCACCAAAGACTTCTTTAATTTCCTGAATCTATGTTTTGAGAGGTTTTAATTCACTCCCACCCCCAGCATTTATTAAAGAAGAATATAATTATTTCCTCATTCCTGATCATCATAAGCATTTAACTGCTAATCAATAACCAGTGTTACCATACTGACTTGCTATAAATTCAGGTAAAAAAGGAAAGAAACTAGGAATGTAGCTTAGTTTAACCGCTAACAGTCATAAGATAAGTAAATATCCATTCAAGTAGCCTCATTGGAGAAGCTGGAAGGACTGGACTAAAGGTTAGGCACCATAGGCAGTGTTTGTGTTAGGGGAGCACCTGGAAAAAACACAGAGTTGTGCTGATTTGTGGTCAGGCCAGAGTTTCTGTAGGCAATGGAGAGCAATTGAAGGTTCTTGGGAAGGACGGGGTAGGAGAAAGCTATGGAATTTTAGGAAAATTAATCTGGAGGTGACAAAATAGTTTGAACCAAGGGGTTATAGTAGGCAAGTAGACTAGATAGAAAACAATTGCAATAATATAAGCATGAAGATATGAGAGCCCAAGTCGGCGTGGCAGTGGTGAAAAGTGGAACACAGAAAATGAATTGGAGTACAGAAAAACCAAAAGAAAATGAAAAACCTTTGAAGCCAACTTGACATGATGAGCAAAAGAGGGAAGCTGCAGAGATCATACTAGAGTCTCAAGTCAAGTGATCAGAACTGCGAGGTCATTCATGGGCATAGGGGAACCTGCGGGGTGGATCACACCTGGTGAGGAGATTGAGGTGGGGAAAGAGGAAGTGATGAGTTCAGAGCTGGAAGTCCTGGAGAGAGGTCAGAACCAGGGAGAGAAAGGAGGTCACTGCTGCCAGGGCAGGGTGAGTTGAAGCCATGAGAACAGGGTAGCTCCCAACAAATACTGCACAGAGAAATGAGAGCCTGGCACAGAGAGTGAGGAATACCTATGTTTAGGGGATGGGAAGAAGAAGGACCCCCAAAGAGTGAAAGAGAATCCACCAGACAGGCAGGAAGGAGACAAAGAAAGTGAGATGTCATGGATCCAAGGAAGGAGAAACTGTTAAGGAGGAGGTTCTAACAGTGCCAACAGGTACAGAGAAGAGGCATTGGGCTTGGCATTGACAAAGTCTCTAGTGACATTTGAGAGCAATTTCAGAAGAGTGAGCAAGGTGGGAACCAGATTACAAGTTACCACTAGAAAGTGAGAAACTGTCAGCAAGTATAGGTTACACTTTTGAGAACTCTATTCACAGAGAGGAGAGAAATAGAAACCAGACAATGTACTAGAAACAGGCCAGGCACAGTGGCTCATGCCTGTAATCCCAGCACTTTAGGAGGCCGAGACAGGTGGATCACCTGAGGTCAGGAGTTTGAGACCAGCCTGGCCAACATGGCAAAACCCCATCTCTAGTAAAAATACAAAAATTAGCCAGGCATGGTGGTGCGTGCCTATAATCCCAGCTACTTGGGAGATTGAGGCATGTGAATCACTTGAACCTGGGAGGCAGAGGTTGCAGTGAGCCGAGAACATACCACTGCACTCCAGCCTGGGGGACAGAGCAAGACTCTATCTCCAAAAACAAAACAAAACGAAACAAAAAAACAAACAAAAAAAGAAAAAAGAAACAGTCTTCCAGTTTTTCTTTTTCACACTCCCAATGCCCTCTCTTCCTAAGTCAATGTGGATGAGGGGCTGTGGTGAGATGGTCTGAGGGCCAGCTTGCAAGACTTATATAAGAACTTTAAGTTACCAAAAATAGGACATCCAAAAGATCCTTAAGGGGGCCACAGTCTTGACATTCAAAGACAGAGAGGACTTAGGCAGGGGTGTCCAATCTTTTGGCTTCCCTGGGCCACACTGGAAGAAGAATTGTCTTGGGCCACACATAAAATACACTAACACTAACAGTAGCTGATGAGCTTTAAAAAAAATCACAAAAAGAACCCTCATAATGTTTTAAGAAAGTTTACAAATTTGTGTTGGGCCTCATTCAAAGCCATCCTGGGCTGCATGCAGCCCACAGGCTGAGGGTTGGACAAGCTTGGCTTGGAGGCTCTGGTGGAACTCCAAAATAAACATGAAGAACACCAGAGAAGAGAAAGCAAGGGGACCGTAATGATTTATGGAATCATTAACAGACATTTATTGTGCACTTATTATTTTTCCAAAAATGTTATCCATGCATTTAGCTTCAGCTACCACCCACGTGTCAATATGCCCAGCCCACCCAGCTATCCATTTCAAACTCAACATATTTAAAGTAGAACATGTCACCTTGCTCACAAGAGTGATCCTCTTCATTTATTCTCTACCGTGGTAGATACACTATCATCACCCAACCAGAAACATGGCAGCCATCCTAGATTCTTCAATCTTCCTCACCTCATCTCCCTTATTGAATCAATGCATCTGTGTTCTAAATAGCCTCAATATTGTCCCCTTCCTCTCTATTCCATTACCATTGCTGTAGTCTAAGACACCATTACCTCTCACCAGGTAATAAGTTTGCATCTTTGATCCTGCTCAAATTTCATGCTGGATTGTAATCCCCAATGCTGGACATGAGCCTGGTGGGAGCTGTTTTGATCTTGGGGGCAGGTCCCTCAACAGCTTGGTGCTATCTTTATGATAGTGAGTTCTCGTGAGATCTGGTCGTTTAAAAGTATGTGGCAGGCTGGGCGCGGTGGCTGAAGCCTGTAATCCCAGCACTTTGGGAGGCTGAGATGGGCGGATCACGAGGTCAGGAGATCGAGACCATCCTGGCTAACACGGTGAAACCCTGTCTCTACTAAAAAATACAAACAACTAGCAGGGCGAGGTGGCGGGCGCCTGTAGTCCCAGCTACTCAGGAGGCTGAGGCAGGAGAATGGCGTAAACCCGGGAGGCAGAGTTTGCAGTGAGCTGAGATCCGGTCACTGCACTCCAGCCTGGGTGACAGAGTGAGACTCCGTCTCAAAAAAAAGTATGTGGCAACACCCCTCACCATCAACTCTCTCTTGCTCCTGCTCTTGCCATGTGATGTGCCTGCTCCTGCTTTGCCTTCCACCGTAAAAGCTTCCTGAGGTCTCCCGAGAAGCTGAGCAGATGTCAGCACCATGCTTCCCGTAAAGCCTGCAGAACTGTGAGCCAATTAAACCTCTTTTCTTTATAAATTACCCAGTGTCTGTTGTTTTTGTTGTTGTTGTTGTTGTTTTAATTTTTAATCTTTTTTTTTTTTTTTTTTTTGAGACAAGGTTTCACTCTGTCCCCCGGGCTGGAGTGCAGTGGTGTGATCACAGCTCACTGCAACCCTGAACTCCTGTGCTCAAGCAGCCTTCCTGCCTCAACCTCAAATATAGCTGGAACTACAGGTGTTCACCATTACACCCAGCTATTTTTTTTTTTTTAATTTTTAGTAGAGACGAAAAATCGCTATGTTGATGAGGATGGTCTTGAACTTGTGAGCTCAAGCAATCCTCCCACCTCAGCCTCCCAAAATGCTGGGATTACAGGCTTGAGCCACCATGTGCTGTCTCGGGTATTTCTTTATAGCAACTCAAGAACGGCCTAATACACCAGGGCTACTGCAGCAGCCTTCTAACTAGTTTTCCTACCTCCAGTCTTCCTCCACTCTAATAAGTCTTTGGATTATGAATTTCTTTATTTAAAAGTAATTAAGCACCAGTAAAATACATCTCTCTGAAACACACATCTGACCATATCACTTTCAAGTTTTAAAACCTTCAGCAACTGTCAACTATCTATAAGTAAAGTCCAAGTTCCTTACCCTAGAAGAGAAGGCCTATTATAACCTGGACCTGGTGCCATTCCAGCCTCATCTTCTTCCACTGCCCCTACACATCCAAAGCTACAGCGACTTCTTTTAATACTCAAGGTTCAGCCTTATGTTCTCTTTCTGTGTCTTGCCCCTTGATCCTTTGTCATTTACATAGCTCCAACTATTGTCCCTGAGTGAAGCCCAAATCTCTGTCTTCAATCCTACACTCTCTTTGGAGCTCCATATTTCTAGTTGCTTGCAGGGAATTTCCATCCTGACTTGACGGGCCCCAAACTGAACTCAGTAACTTCCTCCCCAAAGGTGGAAGTGCTCGGTGACTTCCTTAGTTCTGTGTTACTCCTGGTCGATTAGAATAAGTGACCTTTACTCTTCACGCTTGCCTTGGGCCCATTCCTGGACATGTCAATTAAGCCAACAAATGCTGTCAAGTCTCCCTTTCTTTCATCTGTTTGCAATGTCCTTTTTCATTCATATGACCACTACCAGGATCAGAAAGATCAGTACAGCCCAGGACCTGACCCATCCTTCACCTTTCTCTCCAGTCTCAAAGG